AAAACCTTCAGAACCCTCCTCACAGTTCTGTAAGATTCATTTTGGACATCTGTCTTACAGAATTATAAAATAATAAATTTGTTTTATTTGTGACAATTTATCACAGCAACAGAAAATGAACAGTCATCAACCAGTCTCAGAATCTGTTATGTCTGCAAACAGGTCCCTCTGATTCTCCCCTCCAATTAGGGTCATGTCATTCTTTTTGAAAATAACCCCAGCCCCACTGCCACTGGCTTAGTTCTCTACTGCAAAGTTGTGGTATAAAGGGAGGTACAGGTTGGGGAGAACAGTGACAAGGTGTAATTATTTCACTCCTCAAAACTATTATATATACACAAGCTAAGTGTGCACTGTGCATGCTGTGAAAGTTCAGCTTCAAGTGATTTTGCTAACCAGCGTCCCTTACAAAATCTGATCACCTCCGAACTCTTCCCACATAAAAATTCTGGGACTGGGGCAGTGTTTGAGCAATTTCTTAAATGGATTCCCTGCCCCTAGCCCTGACCACCTTTTGCACAACCCAGTCTTCAAATGGGAACTGATGGATCTTTTCATTATACAAGTTCAACCTTCACTAGTGGCATCACCATGAGGTAAATTTCTCAGTATGACCTACAAAGTCTTCCAGGGTTTCATATCCAGGCCTCATCTGTTGCTCAGACCTGATTCTCATCTCACTTTCTGGCTTTTTCTCAACAGCTGATAGTTGCTGGATGCAGTATGTTGTGTGTCCCTGGTTCTCGTCATCCATCCTTTACCTAGATATATATGTTTCCAAGGGAAAGAAGCAGAAAACTTTCACCGTTGAAAAAAGTGGTTTACGACCTTCCTCCCTCTGTGAAGCCCTCGTACATACCTACCCCTCCCTTCTCCAGTGTTACATTTCCCTTCTCTGCTCTCTACACAAACATGCTTCTATTTGAAAATAGAATGTGATATATATATATTTAAATTTATTTTATGTGTATGAGTGCATTGCCTGCACTCATATAAGTGCACCCATGTCATGCAATGCCCATGAGGGTCAGAAGAGAACATTGGATCCCCTGGAACTGGAGTTACAGAACTGAGTTAGCCGCCATGTGCTGGGAGTCAAACCTGGGTCCTCTGCAAGAACAGTCAGTGCTTTTAACCACTGAGCCGTTTCTCCAAGCCCCATAACATATTTTGTGTGCCTCACTATTATGGGAGAGCTCTACAATCATGAAGTATGTCTACTTTATTTTTATATCTCTAACAACACAGTGCTTGGCACTTGGAACATATTTAATAAATGATTGCTGCTCATTTAGCCGAATGCCGTCACCTCTCTTACAGCGCATCACACAGGAGCACTTGGATGTTTGTGGCGGGGGCCCTAAAAAGGGCAAACAAAATCCCT